CATTTTCCTACGTTCGCCGACAGTCTCCATTTTCGGGTGTATCCTACCGCCGCATCTATTTGTTCTTGCAACCCTTCTGGTGTTTCGGATACCCCCACGAAATCATCTGCAAACATCAGTCCGGACACACTCTTTCCCTCTACTTGGACTCCCTGTCTTACTGCTTCAACCGCCCTTATCAAATCGTTGATGTAAATCTTAAATAGAGTGGGTGACATCGTACAGCCCTGTGCGACTCCTTGGAGTATATCCACGTACTTCGAAATTTCCCCATCCAACATCACCGCACTTCTTGTGCATTCTGTCATCTTTTTCAACATCCTCCACATTTTCCCCCGGATGCCGATGTCCCACATCTTTTTCCACAATCCATTGCGCCATACGGTGTCGTAGGCTTTTTGTATATCGAGGAAGAAACAGTATGTCGTACGCCCGGCGTCTTTCCTACCTTGGATGATTTTACTCAACGTATATACATGGTCTACACAACTACGATCTGGTCTAAATCCAGCTTGTCCTTCGCTGATCTTTTGTTTCCCCTCCAACATGTCTCCCATTCTATTGTCTATCATCTTGCCAAACAGTTTCCCCACTGTTCTCAACAGGGTTATCCCTCTATAATTCCCCGGGTCAGCTTTATCCCCCTTTTTGAACAGGTTCACGACTACTCCTTCTCTCCATCTCTTCGGCGCGTACTCGTGTTTCCATATCCAGTTGAATATCCGGACCAACATGTTAATCATCCCCTCCCCCCCTGTTTCAAAAGCTCGTTCACAATTCCATCAGCCCCTGCCGCTTTTCTATTCTTGAGTTTCGCTACGCAGTCCTCTACCTCTTCTCGTGTGAACTCTCCCTGCAACCCGTCTACATCACTACGTTCCCTCTGAGATCTTTCAACGTTTTCCTCTGCCCACGAGTTGATTTCCTTCTCAAACTCCGAGTCGAAGTTGTCGTTGGTGGTGGGTGTCCCAAGTTTGCGGTAGTGCTCTACTAGTACTTCCCTCTTTCCTTTAGAACTGCTTACCATCTTACCCTCGGCAGATCTTAGTGTCGTTATTTCCGTGTCTCCCCCTCTCTTCCTGCCCACTATCCCTTGAATTCCTACCCACATTTGCTTCATCCCCCCCTCAAAATCTTCGTTAGTCTTTTGGACTACTTCCTCCCACAACCCTTTCTTCTTCTTCACGACCAACTCCTTCACCCTCTTTCTACTTTCAACATACTCCTTCCATCCTGCATCTGTTTTCCCTGCCGCATATTTTGCGTGTGACTCTCTACGTACTCGAATTGCTTGCTTGATTTCTTCGTCCCACCACTTCACTGCTCTCTTACAAACTATCAACTTTCTACCTAGAACTCTACTTGCTGTTGTGTTTACCAGCTCTTCCCACCCTTCTATGATTCTAGACCCGGCCTGGTCCCGGCCTTCGGCATCCTTCGGTGTACCCCATTGCCTCCATCAACTCCGAGAGTTTCTTGTCGTTTATAGCCCTCTCTTCTTGGAACTCTACCC